TATCACTATCAGTTCGATCGACTTGGCCTTGCTAACTGGTTGCTTTCGCAACAGAGGGAAAAGCCAGCAGCGGCATTCTTCAATGCAGAGGTTTGGTCTCTCTATGTTCTTACTTTCAAATTTTACTTAACGCTGTCTTGTATGAAGTCCACATACCAGATACGGGAATGTGCGGTAGAGGGGGAGTGGATAAGGGGAGCAAAGACGCACTCCGCCCATGGCCTGGCTGGCAACATCAAGTTTTACAATTCTTGAGGTGTTTCCTCTGACCAGGGAAGTCCGCCAACTTACCATGGAACTTTGAATGGAGACCTGGGTAGATCGATAGAGTCTATAAGGTTATTTACAAATATAGATAGCAAAACTGCAACCTGCATTTCACAAGCAACTTATGAGCAGGTAAAGTTTGTAATGGTGCAGTAGGGTGGAGGCTTGGTGGTGAGCTGTGAAGCATAAGCGAGGAATCGCATACGTCGAATCGAGTCGTCGAACGTCGAACCTTACCACTGAACCACCACGACTCGACCACAAAGCTGAAGCCGGCTGGCATCACTTGCAGAGTTTGTGCCGGCCTCAAGCAGCTGCGTATGTCTTGGGGGTGATTCACACGTGTCTGGAGTCTTTACTTCGGAGCTAGAAGGGAAGGTGGAAGGAAGAGCCGTTTGGTTGTTCGGGCAACATCGTACATAATTTGTATTCCGTGACCCAATCCTACAAATCAAGTTGACGTTTGAGCACCCTAGGATCCTAGGCTCGTCTATTTGGGGGACGCTGAACAAGCAAGTATTCGGAAAGAGTGTGACTTGAATGTGGTCTAAGTACTTATATTGACACGGTAGAGCGATGGGGCGTGTCAGTAGGCGTGGTTCAGGTTGGCGACTACTGGTAGAAAACACAGTCGGATAGCTCACCCCAGGTTTCCTGGCGGGTCCCGTTTCCCTCATTGACTCATTTAATACCACTTCTTGGTATGTTTCACTTCTTCATTTTCGCTTGTATATTCATTTCACAATTCTGCCTTAGTTCTGATGACTATGGTATAGGTTCTGCGATACGAGGTAAAGGATGAAGAAAGAATCGCTCAGCCCCCTCTACTGTTATCGAACTATTGGAAGTGTGAGGAAGATCACACAGGTGTGTAAAATTTCTCTCTCAATTGTGTCCATCCGGAAAGCTTCGCTATTGTTCTTGAGTTATTCTTATTCTCTTTGCCCCTTATAATGCCAGATTTGATTTTGCAATAAAAACAGTAGATCCAACCAAAAATTTTGTTTGTGACTCCTAAAGCCTATTCTGGAGTATAAAGACCCAATATTTGCAAACTTATTTCACCATTATTAGAGGCTCAAAGGCAAGTTATACGATTACATGAATATAGCACTCGTTTCTCGGCACTCACTTCCTCAGTGGGCTGCCAGCTTCGGCAAATTGGTGGCACCGACGTGAGAGGGTAGCGAAGTGGAGAGGTCCCAGCCCTAGTGCCGAGTTTTCCGCCCACCTCACGATTGTTTTAATCTGGTGCGATTAGATCCAAGCATTTTTCGTTGGCTACAGCCGTTGCGCGAAACTAGACGACATCACTACTACAACAGGACATTGTAGCTGTACCTGGCTGCTAGATTGGAAAGAACAAAAACAACAAGTGAAAACAAAAAAGCTAAACAAACAAAAGTATGGAGGGAGACAACCACTCAGAATGCATTTGGAGCAAAGGCATTATCTTACGACAGGCGTGAAGCTAGCAAATTGAAAAACTCGTCCGAGAGCTAACGAACTCGCGCAATGTTAGAGGTGAGTGGGTCTTATTGAGAGGTTCCTGCCGTTTTCTTCCTAGGTTTTCCATCAGAACCTTGCGCTTCGTCATCGAGCACCATAGCAGTCTTTCTGCCATCGTAAATGGTTTCTCTGAAGCGAAAGCGACGTTCAATTACAAGTCTAGAGATTCTGCAGGGGAGAAAAAAGCGAAGAAACCCCCTCAGAAGATATTGAATGAGGACCCTCTGCCGACCTCACAATTTTTCCGGACCTGCTTGTTTTATGCCAGTGCACATCCTGCCGCCTCTGGCTCGCTAGTCGTTTCTTCGCGTCATGCAATGCTAGTAAAATCTAACAGTAAAAAATAACGCGGTGTGGGCCTTGAGTTTGGTTGGCGGGACAATAGCTAGGCAGGCGTCAGGACTGGCATTTATGAGGGCCGCAGCGCCTTCGTTAGTTATGTGAAGCCCCGAAAAAAAGAGAATCGTAACGACTGAAGACCAGACTACTTGTATAAAGAATGTCGCCCACGAACTGGTTGAGTGCGAGGACTGTCTTCAAACCGTACGCGGAGTAGCAGCAAGCAGCACCGCTTACCAGCCGGTCTCGGTCGGAGGGTAAAAACTCGGCTGTTGTTTTAATGTTTCAGTGAGCTGTCACATTTAGAGGGGTGTGAAACTAATGTGGGAATTCTGATGTAATTTACAAACTGCGTAGATGAAAATACCGCAGCACTTTGTTTTCAAAAACTGTGAAAGAGTTTTCCATGTTATTCGTACAGTTTTGGTGACCTTAGGTTCTTCCAGATGTGCGAATAGACTACCACCTTAATCCTGAATGTTCGATAACAACTCCATTGTTAAATCTGGTTTTTACAACGAAACTCTCCGGCAATGTCAGCAGCGTAACGTCAGATCCACCGGCTGCTTGGTAATTTTTGTACGCCATCGTTGTGTCATTTTTCCGATTTCCACGTTATGATGTCTTATGGAATGACCTTTGATATGTTGTAGGTCCACGGAAAATAGTTCATTATCATGGACAATAACTGAGTTGTCGAGACATGGTGATTGTGCGGGTTCGTTAAAAGCACGGGTACATCTTTCCGGAGGAGGCCCATCTCAGTCGGCTCACGTTCACGTGCAGTTTCAGGTTAGATGTGTTGGTGTTTTGAAATTTACGACAATAGTCTGTCACACAATCTTGTTTGCTGTGGGGGCTGGGGCATTTCGGGGAGTTGCTTTGGCGCGGCGCCATCCCGTTTTCCTCCAATTGTTGTCGCTTGCTCGTTTCAATAGTTGGTGGAGAACGGCTGGAGCCGCGCCTAATAGAACGCTTCTGACACGCCTCAGCATCTGCAGCCTCACGTCTGTATCCCAAGCCAGCGTTCACACCTGGCGACGACGGGCTGTGACGCGCTATCACTGCAAGAGCACTCCAGCCAAAACACATCATTGGTTGGGGATTTTAGTCGACTCTATACGACCCCCCCCCTTTTTTGGGAGTTGGTACGACCCCCTCCCTTTACAACGTCCGTGAAGCGAGAAAAATCAACTATCAAAATAAATTTTTCTCAGCCCAAATACGACCCCCCCCCCTCCTGGCTACCAAATACGACCCCCTATTCTGGATTCCCCAACAACGACGTGCCCTGACACCAGCGCAGACTAGTATCGATCAGCGCCGGCGCTTGTGTTTGGAGAGTATAGCATAACAGGTGGCTGGGAGCGGCCCACTCACGTGGTCTGGTATCGATTGGCGCCGCTCGCTAGTGCTTTCGGAGAGTATAGAGGGACGGGAGAGTGCCAGATAGTGGGGAGGCAGCGCCAACCCTCCTGTCACCGTATACTCCGTCAAGAAACAGCGGCGGTGATCGATACCTGTCTGCGGCTGCGTTTCCGTCTATACCACTGAAGCACCATTGCATGGATACCGTGTCGACTCGTGTTGCAGCGCGTTACAGCGCGTCGACGCGCGTCATCGCAGAACCTGAACGCTTCTTAACAACAAACAATAACGGAAAAGCGCTTTAAGACCTGCCAGTCCCGTATGTACGTTAACCTGAAAAGATTTCCGCCTCCATCTATATCCATCAAGTACTGACCACCGGCCCACTCGAAAATTTTTTAACCAAAGTTAATGCTTTTTTTCAAGAATTTAGGTCCGATTTATTTCAGTGCTCGGATGCGACTATCTCAGGCGTTAATGTGTCCCTGGTAAATTCCGATACGTATCATTTGTCGATGGTTCGAAGAAAAGTGTTGGCTGGAAAGTATTTTAGTGAACCGGAAGTTCGAAAATAGATCCTATTTTATTGCCAAATTGATTTTTTTTCAATTTTTTTAGTTTCGTAATTTTGTACAGATCGTGTGTTCTTTAGGCTTATAGGAAATATCTTTGTGTTCACTTTCCTATTCATATGAAGCTCAGACCTCGTTTCCAAGAACTAGTGATGACTTTTGCTATCTGTGTCTTTTCCTCTCCTATTTATTATGTTTTCTTTCTCGTAATTTTTCTAATCGTCATATTTACAGACGGTTAGCCCTACAAATTTCGCTCATCCCTGTCATGGTGCTCTTTTCATCGTATTGCATGCAATTTTTATTTATTCGAGTTGGTCCACCAGGGAACGTCCTGCCGTTGGGGAAAATTTTGCAAATTACGGTTCTCCTCGAAACTCTCCTCTGGCACGGACCCCAACCCATGCGTAGGGAGGGAAGTTTCGTTGCGCACGTCATCTGGAACGACCGGGAAAGGTCAGCAAGCGAAAACATTCTTCCCAAGGGCAGATACGACCCCTTCCCTGCAGCTAACAAATACTGCCCCCCCCCTCGCTGAGGATCCCCAACGTACGACGCGCCGTGCGATCAACAGCTGCTATAGGGTGTTGTAGGGTTCTGACCGATGCCTGATGTTGTGCGTACAACTTTCGGTGTAAGCAGCCACTATTCTTGAAACTGGTTATTTCGCCTAGTAGTAGAAGCAGATGCTAGTCGCTAAAATGGTAGGTCAGAAGAAGAAGTGTTTAGCTCCATAAGGTGCGTTTACGCGCGTCATCGCGAAGTCTGAACGTGCCTAATACGACTTGTGCCCTAGTATGTTACTTTGTAGCACGAACCATTCAACCGCATCCCGCTGCTTGTTGTACAGATGAACCCAGTGCCCTGATAGTCCTGGCGCTGTTGAAGAAATGTCCAGTAGCTTGTCCTTTATCTTGACGCTCTCATACGCATGCTGTGGGGTGTAGCTCAGGAGATCCGAGCAGCGGCATTGCGCGCGAAGGTTTCTCGGAGTAATGCTGTGAACGTGATGCTACGTAGGCTGCCATTACTCAAAGGCAAGGCTGAAGGCTTTCGGCTGTCATCAGCGTCATTGGTGGAAGGGCTGCGAGAGTGTTCGGTTACACCCCACTTAGCCCTTCCACCAATGCCATCGGCGACAACGACCCGCCCACAGAAATCGCGTCCACTGCATTTAATTGATTTGACGCCAGTGTGCTGTGTCGAGTCCATAGCTGATGCGACTGGTTGATTTGGGAGCTAAGATCACCTGAATCCGCACGCTACAGACCCGCCTTCTGCTCCCATGTGGAAGACCCGTGTTATCCAAACAAATCCCCTTGCCTTGGATACGAACCTTCCGGTGGTGGCTGCACTCAGTTCTCAATCTTACGGTAATGTGTGCCTTTGCTAGTTTACCCTCAGTTAGCCTGCTGTTGTGCCGCCATCTCCGCTGCAAAAATACCGTTTTGTCCCTAAACACATATTTTATCAGAAAAAAGTCTTTGAGTTTTCTCTGAGGAAACCAGCTAATGCCTCCACTCATAATTATTCGTCGCACATTTCACTATGCACGCTTAGTTAGACCACAGCAATCTCGGCTTGAAAACTCATTTCGCCCATATCTTTCTGTTTTGAAATCGACAGATACGTCCCTTTCTTATCGAACGATCGAAGATTTTTCTCGTCGCCATGCCTTTGGCCCGACCACGACCGACATTTTTTGCACAGAAATGCGCCCAGTTGTATATTTACGAGTATTAATTTGTTACACTGTTGAATTGTGATACTATGCTGAAAAGGAATTGTTTAATTTCAATAAATTTACGTGTATCCGATTGTCACCATATTTCGCAAGGGTTTCTTTCCTTTATCTTTAGATATAGATCATGTATCTAATAGAACTAGTGAAAAGCTGACGTACATTCTTGTTCCGTGCGGATAATGGGGCGTGTCAGTGCGGCTGGATTTGGCGCAGCGCCAAGTCCCATTTGCCCTAGACACGCCCTTTCATCCGCAGCGAACAAGGCCGTAGTGCCTTTGCATGAGTTGTAGTGCTCGCATGAAGTGGACGATTTACATAGCTAGCATGGAAGTAGGGTTGACTATGCTTTCTCGCTTTTTTAACTTCATTTATCTGTCCAAAACTTCGTTTCTTTCTTCAAAATAAGAAAGCCCAAGAAGGTATCAGGGATTGTACGAGTACAGATTATAATGTGATTCTGGAGGTTTCGGTGCGCCTGGGCACAGGTTGTGATGGTACATATTTGCCTTCATCATTCGTCTCGAATATGTACTCGCACAGCTGTTGCTGACCGCGCTCCACGACTAGTCCTTGCCCAGTCGCTAGCTCGGTCACCTCTTTCGACCATTGCCATCCTGCGATTGGCTAAGGAGCGCGATCGTTCACGTCATGGAATTCTCAAATAGCGCAAGTGAGTCGCCCGCGTCGCAAAGTATGAACCCGACCATGAGTCGGTACTTATATGGGTAGAGTCGCTTGGATCCCACTTTTCCTACATGTCATCCTAGAAGGAGAGGCCAGGCAGTGGACGGACTCCGCCCACACGACCAGTGGAATAGGACTTTGATGATGCTGATAATGCCAGTTTTTTAAGACCACTTGAGAACTACAGTTAAGTGCAGGGCCATTGTACTCAGCATCGTTCATCATCGTGGGGAAATCCCATTGGGAACATATTTGGTCGCTGGTGGGGAGGAGTAGTAAGCGCAAGGTTGCTGAGTTCAGCAGAGCCGAGTAAGCGTGAGATGCGGGTTCCAGTACCTGCTGGGGCCAGAATTTCTGCCCATTACACACTTGTTGTGGAAGTGTGTAGCACCGAAGCTCTGACACTTTGCTCCATAAGACCGCCCGACAGCAGTATTCCTTTTCGTCTGTCTTGCATGTCAAACTAGGCCTACTCGTTTAAGGTATATACAGGCGATTATATGTGTGCA